AGTCGCTCACCACCACAACCCATTGATTTACGCCCTAACACTGAACACGCCAACCCAGACCCCTCTCAATTTCCCACCACAGCCGTCCTCCGTCGCCCAATCAACCGTTGGCGACCTCCACCCAACCTTCACACCTTTACACCTGCAGACCAAATCCTGGAATGGCTCGAATTCCACGCCACCCAACTCGACAATCCCAACCGACCACAACACCAGTACATTGCCAATATCCTCACAGACTGCAACATCACCTACAAGGAGATCACCGATTTCCGACAATATACTCACGCCAAGTGGAACGACACCACTCACCAATACGACCAATTCCAGTACTACGCCATTTCACTTCCCTTCCTCAACACCAAAGCCACTACACCAGAACCACCTGCGGTTTCCCGAGCCACATCAACCCACCGGGAAGTCGCCCACATCAACGCAGGCCACACAGGCCCCGTCGGCAACATTTCCAACATTCTACGCCAAGGCCGATTTTTACCCAGCACACTCCACTTTGCCAACTACCCTGGATTTTTTGCCCAGGGCGTTCGCATCACCCACAACCAACCCCATGACCACAACGAACTTGCCCGCATCATCCACAACACCTGGCAACTCCACAAGAACTCCCATTCCCTTATCATCACACTCCTTGCTTGGGGTGCTGCCACAAAATATACCTCTGGAGGTGAGGAACACGCCATGAACCTCCTTAACGACCACCATGGTGCAGTCTTTCATCAGAAGGGCCGCTGCTGGGTGATCCACCCGGACCACGCCATTGTCAAAGGACTGGCCTGGTCCACAAACTCCACTCCACCGGACACATAACACCACTACCACACATCTACACACCACTACCACCTCCACATCCACTTTTGGTCTCACACCACCACCTAACCTTTGCTTGTAGCAGCCAAAAAGAGCCTCCTGCAGCGGCCACGCGAATTTTGAACCCTCAATTTTTCAAGCTCTGCAGTGTTTGCTGTAAACATCTTTCTTCGAATTGTACCGGCTGTTTTGATGAAGTATTTCACATGTCAGACTCTCATGTACTTGACTGTCCAACCGACATTGCATATTCGTACTTTTGCCTGTGGGAATTTGATGCTCGCTTAATTCATATGCACGGCCTCGTGATGATGCGCTCCCTCAGACTCGCCGCTGTCCGGCTGCTTTGGCGCGCTGCTGCAGCAACCTGTGACGATTCTTTGCTACTGTACACCCCTACATCTCCGAATCATGAGCAGCACACCGACACCTCTACACAACGACGCCTCAACTCTCATACACAGAACCACAGTGGTACTTTCGCAGGTGCAAAACCTGCTCCGACAAGCAACAGATATTGTAGCACACCTCCACACTGTTTTCCTCCACCACTGCCACCAAGCGGATCCCACTTTCCGCCAACACTTTCAGCCACTTCCAACTCCGCCCAACCACCCTATACGTTTACCATCTACCACCTCATCCTGTGACTCAGCACCATCCAGACCACCCATCCGTTTACCAGCACCACCCTCAAAAGACTCAGACGACACTCCAACAACACCCCCAGATCCACAACACCACAACACGCAAGCGGAAGCAACCACCCCCACCACCACTGAACCAACAGGCGGACTGGGATGCTTGGGACGGCGACGCCGACTGTCGCCTGGTCGAACTCAAAGAAAACCCCAAACTTCGTCCCAACTGGACCACTGTGGCTCGCCGAGTGGGCTTCTCCGTGGAGCAATGCCAAGCCCGATGGCAAGAACTCAAAGACATGCAACGTCAGCAGGACCGGCAACTCTTCTCCACACCACTACCAACCGCACCACCAAGGCAAGCACCTTCCCCATCACCAACACCCACATCACCAGCAGTTTCCCCAGCACCACATTCACAACCGGATTTCTCCCCTTCCCCCAAAACAACGCCACCGACTTCACCACATCAAACGACTCCTGCTGCTGCGCTGCTGACGCCGGCTGCTGAGCGGGACCTTAGTGAAGACAGTCATCCGGAGAAATCTCCACTTACGCCCGTGGTCAGTTATTTCATTTGACCCGTTTCACCCATCTTTCTTTACGGCGTGCCGCAGGACAAATCCACTGACCTGCACTGACATTTGGTTTTTCACATCCAGTCTACTTTTACCAGGTTGCCCAACTTCGATTTGTCAGTTTTCAGGCTCACTTCAGCTCCGCAGCCTTTTGTACGCCATTTTATCCCATCAATTGTCATGGCCAATCCTCGCGCTCGCCCTCATAGCAACCCCGCCGACACAGAACACTACCTCCCACAGCGCCCTCCGAGCTGGCTCCAACCTTCGATTTGCACTCAGCCCGATTTTCAATCCCTCAACGGCTCTTTGGACCTCCTCTTTCTGGTCAACCAACACCTCCGCCGTCACCCATTCCACACTGAACCTATGCCAAGCCAGACCTATTTTCAAGACCAGAGAGCATACAACCTCCTTTACCGAATGCGCGGTGACCTGATCTTGCTGGACCGCCTGATCGATAACCTCTCCCAGGCTCGTCGGCTCCTTCAATTTGTTACCACCGCCCCCGGGCTCCCAGGACAATACCGCATCAACCCCACAGCCACACTCTCCAGCAGAAACCTGGCCATTCTACACAACATACCGCCAGGTTTTCCACTACCACCCGGACTTTCCAGCCGTTCACCCTCTCCCTCACCACGTACCCCACCACAAGACGCCGAACGCCTACACTCATACTGGACAGGTCCCCCACCACAAGCCACCCCGGCAACCCACATCAACACTACCACTCACACCAGGGAACGTTCACGGTCCCGCGACAACCTCTCACATCGCATTGGCTAACTACAGCAACATCCAACCTCAAGCTCTACGGCAGCCGCTGCGCAGTTTGCCAACTATGAGACGGCATCCCTGCCCACGGCTACTGTTACATTTTGTTTTTCAAGTCTCACTGACTTTCTCGGCGAGCGGCAAAATTCAGCCATCCAACAGAACTACTTCTTTTCACACTCACACTGCTTAATGGTTTTTCGCATTTGCTTGCCACCATTTTTCCGCAGCCATTTGACCGAACTGTTTCTTCATAACCGTCCGCCCTTCCTACGACATGATGCCTCGCGATGATCTACGAACACCACAACCTCCTTTCTCAGCGACCACCACTTTTTCCCCTGGCCCACCCACTCCACACCACAGCTACTCTTTACCGAACAATCCCATGCCATACTTGGCTCCATCCGTGACACACCAACCTGAACTACTCCTGCTCCACTGGATGATCAATACTATATCCTCACTTGTCGAGGATCTCCAACATCACCCCATTGTGCAAGATCCCATCCCCCCAATGTCTACTTTCACCAATACACCAGCCTACAGGCTTTTTCTGCAGACACGCAACACACTGCGACATTTGATCAACACCACCCACGACGCCCGCCGTGGACTCAACAGGCTGCAATTCCTTCCCGGCTCACCAGGCTCCCCTGGCCACTACCGCATTGATCCCACCCTTGACATCCCACCACAGCAAACCAACCTCCTCTCCGGAGCCACCTCTCAACGCAACCCAGCCACACCATCACCCACCAACACACCACCGCTCATTCACCGGTTCAGTGGCAGGGACAGGTCTCGTTCCCGAGACCGGCTTCCCCTCACCACACTCTCACAGCCGAACCACACAACCCCTCGGCACCAGATCATCCCAGACCGACCTTCCGCAGCTCCCGGCCACCGCGGACACCTGCACCAAGCACTTTGGACGGCCTCCAACTCCAGTTCCACCTCCTCGGTAGCTTGCCACCTGCTTGCTGACACACCGTCCTCCTCCCCCTGAGGCGTCGGACAACGCTTGGTCTCACACATTACGCTTTGCTCAGAGATCGAAAAAACCCGTCCTTTTAGTTTTCTTCACACTATCTCCATTTTACCACCCAGCAGTCACACATTTATCTCCGCAGCCATTTGACCTCTCGACGGGCCGCTTCATACATCAGCAAAACAAAAGCGATGACCAGATCAGAGGGTTTGCCCAGGCTACCTTTGGAAAAAGTCACTTGTCTCAAAACAACCTGTTTCGAGACAGAAGAAGACAGTTTTGAGACAAATAGATAGATTTTGCATGGTTACATAGGTTAATATGATTGATTTTTCTACCGAGGAACAATTCATTGCAAACATGCTTTCAGTGTTACAATCAACGACTGTAGATTTCCATCAACCTCTATAGACTCTATACATATGTCAGGTTTACTTAACAGCCCATTGAATACCAATAAGGAAGGGTACACTTTGATCCGCCACACACGCGTTCCATTCTTTTTCTTTCCTCACCCATCAGCTTTGCCAAAAGGAATGGCGACAACGAGACCAGTACATAGAGAGGAGCCATCAGCCATCAATGCAAATACAATTCTGCTTGAATCAAAGTACTCAACAACAAACATTGTATAATTAAAATGTGTCAAACTTCACAACAGCAAACATTAGACTGTTTGCATACCCGCTGAATACTAGTGACGTTCCCCTAAAATTAGGATTTCCAATGACAGAGGTGATGCTGTCAGGCAGGGTTTGCCAAACAATAGCAAGAACAAAGCGGCGTGATGTTTGGTTGTCTGACACACCGCGCTTTGCAAATCAAACTTGCCCCAAGCTCACTGACGATGAACCAGGACAACCTCAGTCAGTCAGTCAGAGCCAAACCACTCACAACAGCCAGTCAAGAAGTGTACGGACTTAGACAACATGACTTAGACTTAACTTATTTAGATTTTGACTTGGGCAAGAAAAGATTCAGGCTCATGTCGGGAGTGCAGTTTCTGTCTGACTTATAATTATAGACTAGAATGTCAGACTCAAATCCCAGATCAGTTCAACGCAAAATGGTTTGATCACGCTTTTTATTTCAAAGCACATCGCGAAAATCCAGGGTGAACAATGACAGGGCCTTCAGTCTAGTCTAGAGTCAATGTCTAAGTCTTCGTCAAAGTCTCCGTCTGAGTCAAGGGGGGGGGCAGCAGGTCCGGTTCTCCTGGACCCACCTCACCGGGAAGTCCTCACTCTCTCCGATCACATGCGTGGTCCTCCTCCTAAAGCCTGGAAACTTACTCGCCCATGAGCCATCGGCTTGCTTGATGCGCATGAACCATGTAGGTGCATCCCGAGATCCCGGAAAGGGATCCAACTTAATCTGGCCTGCAACACTGGAGCAACTCGAGCACTGCACATCTGTCCACACGTTGATAAATCCACGGCCAGCGGCTCTTGGCCCACGAGGTGCAGGGTCAGGCCGAGCATCACCTGGGGCTGCTCCCGCAGCTGGAGGTTGAGGGGCACCATCGAGCACAGCTACTTCAGCTGCGTCGGGCGCAAGAGCTTCAGGGGCTGCATTGGGTTCTGCCACAGCTGGAGCAACTACTTCCGGAACTCTGGGCTCCACAACCGGAGCTGCCACTTCAATTTCTGCATCTGGTCCACTCACAGCACCTGCATCGTTTACTTCTGGGGCTGCTTCAACAGGCGCAAGTGGAATTTCAAGATGAAGGGGAAGAGAGGCAGCGGCTTCAGTGTCCATCACTGCTGGAGCTGGAACTGGGGCAGGTTGCATTGGCTGCACAGAAGCCGCTGAGCGCTCAGGTTCAACAACTGGAGCAGCGGACGAAGGTGCATCTTCAATTGGTGGAACAACATCAACATTTGAAGTACGCCTCCGCTTTCGAGCCCCCCACATATGAGACTTTGCTTTGGGCTTTGCTTTTGCTTTAGCCTTTGCTTTGCTTTTGGCCTTTGCTTTTGGCCGCCGTTTCTTGTTACTGTCGCGCCACTTTTGTTCTACAATCGACCAGCCGGTTTGTTTCTTGGACTGGATCTCCTCTGCTACTTCTCTAAACTCACGCTGCTCCTCCAATGGCATTTCTGAAAGAACCAGCTCGTCAAGCACATCACCGATGTTTTTCCTTTTTATGGGAGTCTGCATGAGTTCCTTTGTTTTTTTGACCCACGGCTCATCGTTGGCCCCAATTTTGTCTACAAGAGCGTGCAACAGCTGATCGCGTCGCATACGCTTGACATTGAAGAGCTCTTCCGGCATGGTCAACACTTCAGCAAGCAAAGCCATGTCTGGTATTGTCACTGACTTTTGACATTGCATGTTTCCAAAAAATGCTTTCAAAAGCGGCTGCGAAGTAGTTGGTGCCATGAAGATCTTGCCACTTTCAACCACCACCTCATGATCCACAACCTGCCACCGTTGAGGACTGAGCAAGAACTTCCACTCGGCTGTACCCGCTGGGTCTAAGTAAAAGAGGTCTTTGCCGGAGCCATCAGAGAAGCGTTGAAGAGGCCAAAAAAGCACTGCCCAGTCTGCAGAACCAAGACTGAAGCCAATGTATCGAACCTCATCAAATTCATCTCTGTTACACATGATGGTAAGTTCCATGGCAAATTTGCTCAACTGTCCAGATTGAATCCGAACCCCTTCTTGCGCAAGGTTGAACATAGAATAGTGCCGCAAAAAGTTCAGCGCTGCAATACCTTTGTGAATGGCTTCTTCACTCAAAGTCGCCCAATTCTTCCTGGACATCACATTTGACCACTCTGCAGGTAGCTTGTGAACTCTTGCAAAATACCGCCTGCCCAGTTGCACAGAAAAGCAAAAATAACAATTGAAAACATTCAACAGATCAACAAATTAGAAACACCATGTAGTTGTATTCCCGACTCTGGAGAACTCCTGGCCTTTTCCGCTTTCTATCCCGCGTTCGTGGAAAAGCTTGCAAAAAAGTGGCACGGTCCACATGGGCCTTGTGCCCAATACCCCTGGAGTCAATCACTGTAGAGTTTGTAACTATTTCCTGCAGCTGATGAAGTGTTTGTTGTCGGTTTTGGCCGCTCTTGGAATTGTTCCGCAAAACGCCATGAATGTCCTCGATTATTTTGGAATCAGGCAATGTCTTCAGCAACCCAAGCAATAGATGTTGGGTACTTGGAGACCTACGATTCCACCCATCTTCTTCACACGCGAGATGAAGCATCCGAATCGCTGGAGTCAACACGGTCCGCAGATCCTCCAAGATGTTAGGACAAGCCCGTGCATCAGCTGCAGCTTGCTCAAGACTCACCAAAATCTGATGGTCTGAAGACATCAAAGACACAGACTCCTGAGAATGGTGAGTTTTGACTGAGATCGTGATTCAGTGAAGAAGGTGCTCCTTAAAACGTTAACGAAGTTTGTTATCACTACATGTCACTCCCCCACACATACACAGAACAATGACAACACTATTGAACATTCTTCATCACATGGCCTGTTGCAATCGGCCATCTTGCGATAGCAAGCCAGAATAGCAGTCAGGAGGCGCGGAACTTTTTGAAAGAGACCAAGCCCGATGTTTCAACAAATGCTGGCTCAACTCTGCGACTTTCTCGCCAGTATCTGCAAATTCTGAAGAGGCGAGGAGATCTACAAGCTCACCTTTCTCTGATGTTGCAATTCCAGCAAGTTCCCTCAATTGACCTTGGATTGGCGCAAATAGGCTCCAGGAAAAAAACATTCACCCAAGACTTAGACACAGCATCTGGTACAAAAGGGCGCTCACTCAACACAGGGGAAACAGAAAAATGATATCACTCAGCAAACCCAGGCAACTGTCCTTGTTCCAATGTTGCATGAGCTCAATGATACGGGGAATATGATCTTCCGGGCTCTTGATATTTTTTACAGTTGAGGTGTACCAACACCACAGTGGTCTCGTGCACAGCAAAACCACAATCACCATTTGATGCAGCTTTTTGGACATCAAATGCCAGCACAGCTTTAAGCCACCTCCCAGTTTCTCTTTCAGGCGCCCAAATTCTTTTCTCACATTAGTCTTGTCTTCGTCTTGGTCACCAGTCTTAGTCTTTGTCATGGCCTCAAGTTTTCGCTTGGTGTATGCCAAGTCGGGATCCACACTTGGGTCTGCGTCAAATAAGTATGCAAGGACTGTTTTCAAAGCTGTCCATTCTTTCAGCTGCTCGTGGGCGGCCTGGTTCCACGAGAACCATCTGCCCTGTTTGGGCATTGTTTGCTTACACTGGAAGGCTTGCAAACCTGGCAGACAATTCCAAACATCACGGTGTGTGTACCAAGACGGAAGCAACAATTCTTTTTTGATGGCCTCCCAATTCTCCATGAAGGCAGGCACAGATTCAGGAGTTTCACGGGCCATCATGATTTCCAATGCACGTTTCTTCTCCTCCTGAAACGCTCCGGATCCATATGGTCTGTAGCTGACGCTAAAGAGGTATTGGCTATACATTTGCGCCTGATAATATTCACCATTGGCGCCGTGCAGACAGCTGAGCTTGATATCTCTGATGAGGCGATGGAATGTGTCCCAACGGCACTGTATCAGTCTTTCAAGCCGGTGCACAGCAAACCTGAGCCACACAGAAGCAGACCTACAAACAAAACAACGCTCTTACCATCTCTCGCCAAAACACAAGCACTGCATTCAAGTTGAGCTGAGAAGACGTCAAATCACACATGACAGACTTCCACAGATAAGAACACTGATTTCTGCCAAGCAACGCTAGTCCTCCGCAGCAAGTAGGACCTTGATCCAATTGTAGAACCAAAAGGTTAGCATCAAGCCACCAGGTTCTGCTCTCTGGCAACAACATCACTTCTTCACCGTCCTCGTGAAGATATCCAGCCCTGACTCTGCCATCTTCTCGGCGCGTAAAGCGTTGTTGGCCTGGTTGAGGTCTTGAGAGGACTACACCAGGAGGCTCGCGAAATGAGTCAAGGTTTGCAATTCTGCCGTTGGTGAGGAGCGAAAGCTGATGGCTCATAGCCTGGAGTTGACGATAACTTGCAACCCGGACCAACTTGTTCTCCTGAGCAATCAAACCAAAGACACCCCCAGCGGAGAGTGTCCACATGTACAGTTGTATTCCCTCCCGATCCTACATTGTGAACCATTTCAATTCCAAAGAAAGACGTCAAGACAGACTTTATTTGACAGTCCTGGGCTAGATGCTCCACAAGCGATGTGAGTTCAAGTTCCCCAGGCGCTATCTGCGCAAGAGGCAATATCACTTGATTATTGGCAAATGCGGCAGAGTTGCATTGATGAGACCAAAGAATTGACACCAACAACTCCTTGCCTGCATGCGTCGAAGCGTCTGCAGCAAGGTTAAAATGCGTGACACCTTGGAATGCCAACGCAGCTCGATGGTCATATATACTTTGACTTCTTCGGACCCATGCGTCCACTGCATTTGCTTTGCACCCTGCCACAGTTGAAAGTCGGGTTCCCTCCAACAGGCCTAAACCCGCGCGCACATTGACAGTGCGCTTCCTGGCAGACTCCAGCAGCTCATAAATGGCATCTGGAGTCATCCTGACTTTTTTTGCAGATTGCAATTCCTGAGATGACCCACCACTGCCACGCCTTGATGGAGGGACTGTTGAACAGTCATGCTCAAGCATGTACCACCCCCTTGTGAAAACATCAATGCCGACGGCCAGGAAAGAGACAATGGCCTTTTGCAATTTCCAGAGCGTGCTACCCACAGCGCTTGACCTTGGCCACATGTGCTGGCCATTCTCTTTCCGCTTCTTCTCAATCGAAAAAAGAAAGTAAACAAGGTCCTGCAGTGAGTTGGCAAGATTTTCACCGCTGATCAACTGTTCAGACACCTCACCAGATTCATACATGGCGTTCCATGCCTTTTGCACAACAACAAAGACTGTCCTGTGGCGATTTGAGAGAGACTCCTCCAAGCCCCGAACAACTCCCCCGGGTGAAATTGTCAACGGCAACATCTCCTCAATGGGAATGCTTCTTGCACTTGTCAATATCGAACACGCTCTGGATGCAATTTGCGGCATCCAGCCACGGACATAGTCGATGATCTGCTGTGTCCTCGACTCTTTCTGGATGAACGCCAGGAAAGAAATAACAGCCACAGTGCTTGCTATATTCTCACGAAGCGCGTCTTGTGGGAGATCTTGTCGTTTGGTGTGGATGAACAATCCATTAGTGTATTCTGTCTCTGTGACCCCATGCCTGAACCACAGTATCCACTTGAACAAGGCCCTGTTCTCGCCACAGCTGCGAAATTTGTCATATAAATGGTCCAGCGCCCACCAAAGCTGCACCTCTCCATTCTCCAAAGTTACAAGGTACCCTACTTTGGATGGCAGCACTCCATCCTGATCTATGGTGAGCGGCTGGCATCGGTCATGCAACAGCATCCAACTCTACAAAACCAGCTTCTTTTTGCAAGTCCGCAGCCTAAGTAGAGGTCACTGTCCAAGTCTAAGTCAACATCGCCAGCCTAGGTCCACACGTTGCTGTATGCAACTGAAGCCTGGCCCGAAAACATGGTGAGGAGCACGCAAAACGCAGGATAGAGACAGACCTGCAGAGCTGTGGCTTTGAATCGCGATCTGAAAAGAGGCTCATCTCCTTCAATACAAGCTACACACTGAATTCTATTTTAGCATGACATGTGCATTTTTATGTTGTTCTACTGTTTGCTGATCGTGAGCCAAGCAAATAGCACTGACTCAGAGGCTCTTGAAGCACCACTTGTTTCACAACACAGAGTTGCACAGAGAGAGAGAGAGAGAGGCTTTCTCACACCATCCATATAGTCATCCATGTGGCAGTTCTAGCGGGCGTCTACACACACCAGCTGGTGCATATCAGATATATATTCTGCCAATGGCTCCAAGATGGCTTTTGCATCTTTTTCAGATGAATCTATGATGCTGTACAAAATGTACATCCCTTGATTCAACTCACCAGCAGCAATCTGCGTCCAGCGTTGTCTCCACAATGCTTTCAGCTGCAGCTGCTTTGTTGGAAGCGGTATGCTCTCAGGACATTGGACCAAGTGCGCGGGTATCTCACTCCATGCCAGCGGATTGCCTTCATCCAGCAGGCTGCCTCCACCACAAGAGAGGTTGACCAGCACACGAAGGGTCGTCAAATCACACCACAAATTCTTGAGTGGTTGGATGATCAAACGGTCGCCCAGGAGGTTGCAAATCTTTTGGCAAGCCTCTCTCAAGGCCTCAAACTTCTCCATGCACAACAACACAGCCTCAGTTCCAAAAAGGCAGCGCTGCTGATCGAGGTAGTCCATGAACACAGCAAGGAACCGGGACGGAGCAGGCATGGTCAAATGTCTGAGTCAAGTCACAGTCCAAGTCCAAGTCAAATCAAAAAGGGTCCAAAACAGCTGCGCAGAAAACAACAAGTGCTACTTGTGAGAAGAACTGCAACTTGTCAGGACCTCTAACCAAAGCACTTACGCAAGAGCTCGCAAACCCTAGTCTGGGCACGTTGATGAGCCTTTTGTCCCAATGTGCAAATGCTGGTTGACGACAGTGAATTGCTCAAACATGCTCTGCCTGAAAGAGTCTATAGGACTCTTGGCATGAATTTCATTTTAGGCCAGGGCTTGTCATGGCCAGTCCAAAAGCCCTAGTCCAAGACTAAGTCTAAGTCAAAGTCTTAGTCCAAATGGGGCCAGCCTCATACGCCAAACCACTCCTCTTGGATCGCTTCAACGATTGCTTGTCCAAACATTGGTGAATAGACTTGGCTTTCCACAAGCCGTTCTTTGCATCCTGAATAGCGCCCATCTTCACCTCTCCTAGCAAGCGAGTCTTCCGCCTCCAGGTTCACCAATGGTGGACGCTCACGGTGCAACTTCTTCATGAACTTGCGGGACGACCATAATTGAAGTGGCTTAAGTGTTGGTCCACCGAATAGGTAGTGGTATGTGGTGGTTCTGGAAGAACCAATGAACCTGAGCACCGCTTGGCAGCTTGGCAGCTCGGGAAACACCGAGCTACTCGGCTGTTCCAAGCCGTCTCGGCACCTGAGCAACCATGCTAGTAGCAACAGCATGCTGCTCAGCTCTGCCAAACAGTTGCCCTGCAGCACAAACAGCTTCGATGTGTCCCCCATGTAATTGTTCTCAGGGTAGCGTTGTGATTGAGCTTTGCACAGGATGACGAAGCTGGAGCAAGGAGGCGCCATCCATACCAGTGCCCCAGCAATAGTTGCCGTGACTGCCAGCAACCACAACTCGAGGCCGTGAGGCTCCAACAAGTCGTGACTCTGGTTCACCTCCTGGTCCAGGCTGACTCCCTGCCAGCCTTTGCGCAAGGCCTGCTTCGACAAGTTCCCCTGGCCACAAAAGAATTCGATGTATTGTAGCCAACAGTGGCCACAACGCCTATGATGCACGGCTCGCATTAGCAGGGCCAGGAGCATGCTGTTAATACACCATCCTGCCATCCATGGAAAGGCCACACTCAAGTAGTGAGCCCACACCCTTTGCGATCTTCCACCACACTGGTCGTCTATGGTGTAGAAATGGTTCAACTCTTGCTGCAACTGCTCCATCTCAGCCTCAGCGCCAGCCACATAGATCTGACCCTCGTCGTTCACCGGGAAGTCCGCCACCGCGCCCAAGGTGGATCGATCTACCAACTTGCTTGTTTCCTCAAATCGTCTCTCAATCTCTTGCTCCCGCTGTTGGATGCTCTTCACTTTCTGGTTGAGCGCGTCCATGGTGGCTTGTTTTGAGACCAATTGAGGCGGATTTGAGCCCTGGACTGTTGTTTGAGACAAATCCAGCCTGTTTTGAGACAGATTCATGCAGTTTCGAGCAGTTTCGAGAAAAATTGAGAAAAAACTCCGCCGGCCAAAAAACAATTCAGCAATTTGACAGTAGTTTTCAGCCTTTCTCGTTGGCTCGTAGCGCACGAATTGTGTGCCCCCACAATTCACGCATTGGCCACTGATGCATTCTTAGCACCACATCTCACACATACATAATTTGCCTGTGTTTCCAGCTGCAGCCACCACATTGACAAGTCTTTGGCATTAGTTCACTTAGACTCAGACCTACACGTTGACACCATCTGAAGACTTAGACTTAGACCCTGACACTAGCTGAAGCTTTCTCCCACAGACCTCGCTTGTTGCAAAACTTCGGGAACACATCGGGAACATATGCAGGTTTGTTGCACCAATCACTCTGCAGCTTTCAGAAAAGCTCTGAGTCTCATTTGACACATTCCTGCTTACTTAGGATCATTCAGCCATCGATCACAGCACAACATTCGGGGGGGGAGCAGGTGCTTGAGATGGTGCCGATTGCGATGGCGCCGATTGAGTAGCCACAGCTTGGTGCGCTTGCAGCGCCATAGCTCGCACGTTGCACTTGAAGGGACACCATCCTTGCGCATGGTTACCGATGCGCCATGTCTGGGCAAGGCACGCTGCATGAAACGTATGCCCGCAATGCAACATTTGGGGCCCACCCAACTCCGGATCCGGGGCGGTCAGAGCTTGGCGGCAGATGATGCAAATGTTGATGTCCTCCTCTTCCTGACGCCCATTTGTAGGCTCACGCTGCGCCTCTGCACCATTTGCAGGCTCGGCCTCATCCGTCTGCTCCAGCTGGTCTAAGGCTTGGTCTAAGTCGTGGTCTAAGTCTTGGTCTTCAGCTGCAGCATCATTTGCCATCACCTCAGGCAGGCAAGCATGAACAGCATAGGTCCAATTCAAAAATACATCACGAAGCCCTACTCAGTACTCTAAACTCACCTACGCACAATGCAAACAACCGCCCATTCAAAACCTTATGTGGAACAATGGCAATTCAAACTAGTCCAACTCTATGTACATTTTATTGTTCCCAGGTAAGACCGTGACCACCACCCCACCTGCAGAGACTCCAGCTCACGACCATTGAGAAGAACAGGTGGAGGAGGCAACATGGGACGGGCCGCCGCCTTGGCTTTGGGGTGAGCTGCCAATTCCACAAGCATCTGGTCAACATTGGGAGCGACAGGAGGTCGGACAGGCACAGCCATTGGAGGGCGAGCAGGCGCTTCCTGATTCACGGTCGAGCGATGTGGAGGTGGTCCTTGCAGCGACAGAGCTGAAACCGGAGCCACGGAGAACTGAGCACCCCTCATCATCTCTGGTAGGCTGCGGTTGGTCTCAACTTCTCTTGCCCGCTCTGCGGCCACGGCCTTCGCACCCCGTCCACGGGCTTTGGGCTCATGCTCAACCATCCACACCTCCTGATAGCCTTGAGCTTCAGACAGGGCGTTGATGAATCCATCTGACAACATCGGTTCCGCCTTCATCGCTGTCACAGCATTCTGCACCTCCGCGGAGTTGGCAAGAAGGCATCTGTGTCTACGTCTAAGCCTGGTATTCAGTTCAGAGTACCTGCTAACGCGCAGACGGCTTATTGATACACTCGGCTTCTGCCTCGACAGGAGCCAAATGATCTTGCACAGCCCATGGGTGCTGACATCACTTGTGGTGGTCGGGTCCAAGGCCTCATCTATGGCCTCGATCAGCTCACTCAGCTTCTTCTGCAGGGTTGATACGATGTCAGTATGAGTGTTGAAACAGAAAGAAACAGACTTCAAATTCTAAAAGCTGAACAGACTGCGCCGTTTAGTAAAGATCAGTGGCCTTAAAAATAGTAGTGAACACATCTTCTTGGACTCAAAACAGCGGTCCTTGGGGAGATTGCGGATCATCGCTGCGCTCCGGGTGATCTTGTCGCCCTCATCTTTCGATGAAAAGAGCTGCGCCCTGCTGTGCATCAAGTTCATCAGAGCTTCATTGGCTGCATCCTCAGTGTCCAAGGACGGCACTCTTGCAGCGGAAGCCTTTGCTGCTGAAGCTGCGGGCTGACCACCATCGGATTCCGAGGTAAGGTCACCATCATCTGAACCCTCATCACGACCACGAGGTGGATGCATCCCTCCTTGCATCATTCCCATGGGGTTCATTCCCCATGGTTGCATGCCCGGCATGCCCATGCCCATCATCATTGCCGGGTTCATGAACATCGGATTCATCATCGTCATTGGCTGCTGCATTGCCCTGGCCTTCTTCCGATGGCTCTGACCGCGGCCCATGTTGTAGCAAGGTGGGACACCACAACAACACAACACTTCTGCACTGTTCTCCAAACAAATGGCTTCCAGAAACGCTGAGCTTGCACAAGCAATCATATTGAGAAGTACATGCCAAGAAAAAACATCTCCATGTCATGACACAAAAAGAAGCAGAGTATTATGATTCAGCAAAAGTACACCTTTCAAGTACACAGACCTGCTCTTTAATTGCTTCAGTTGTCTTCTTCCGTCCTGTTTGTCAACCTGCATGACTGAGGCAAACACTTTGACCCAACTGTAGTGCGCCGCTGCATCTCACCTGAATGTTGCTGCATAGGTATACAAAGCACAAGTACAACATAATCATGCCTCCATATCACACACAAATCAACATAGCTGAGACACGCGAGTCTGAGAAATGCTGCTTCTGTGGAAGCCAAGGGCAGGACCAAACGCATTGTTCAGAAATGTCCTCAAACCTGAGAGCCGGTGCGCTACCAAACCTTCATCCATGTCAGAAGTCCCAGAAAACTGATGGTTGGAATCAAAGAGTAGCTGTCTCTGTGAAAATCTCGCCAACAGAATTCACTCAGCAACAGGGCGGCAGTGGAGAATAGCTACCAAGCAAACACAAAGTGTCTTTCAATAGCGGCCCCCATGTCTGTCTAATTGTTACTAATTGAACTATTTGCATGAATTGTCACACTCGCCAAGTGAGGGGCGATGTGTGGAATGAAATGCTAAAAGGCCACCCAATCAGCTCAGCCAGTCTAAGTCCAGTCAGTCTAAGTCTAGGTCTCAGTCTGAGTTGGACTCATCTCTCTCAGCGTTACCCTCGCAGCCCTCATCACAGATTCAAAATGTCTCTTGGGCACTTGATCCGACTGAGCCTCATTTGCAACATCCTCCAGCAATGATTTGAGACTGTCCGGAATTGGGACCCCTGCTGCAGAGTACTTGTGAACCAAGCACTGAATGGCCCGGTGACGTTTCACCATACGCCGGAGAGACGCTCCCTCATCACTGTCGGTGAGCTCCATGTTGAACGCAGAGGACATTGATCAACAAAGAAGCAAAGCAAACAGTGACAGTTTGAGGTGACTGAAGAGCTGCAATAGAACACTCAACAGTTGATAGAATCCATCCTCTCAATGACGCAAGAAAGAACTGAAAGAACAATTTGCAGAAAAGCTTGGGCCACGACCTCCTGAACAATCTCCTGAAGTTGATTCTAGAAGATACCTGACACACTTGCGCAAGCATTTGTCCAATGTAGCAGAAACCAAGGACAATTTGAGCTGTCACAAGAGCTGCAAGAAAACAAATCAGCAAACGTAGCTAGCCTAAAGTAGGACCTCAACATTTAACTACACAAAGACTGATACTGACAAAGTGACTCAAGCTTGGGCCACGACCTGTTGAACAATGGAACGTGTGGCGCTTCAATATGCCTGATGCAGCTGCGCAAGCATACATCTAAGACTCCAAAAGTTGCAACTTGCTGAACAAGAGTTCACCCACAGTACAACTACATCCGACAAAACAACACCTGAAACCAAGCTCATGGCGGGGAGTCTGAGTCAAAGGTCTCGGAGGCACCTGGTGCAAATTGCTAAAGAAAGAGAAAAGGAGCCCCACCACAGCACAACTGCATCCAGCAAAACTTCTGAAGCCAAGCTCATGGCAGCGGGGTCTAAGTCAAAGTGTCAGGCACCTGGCATGCTGTAGCGACAACACAAGTGTCAGGGTCTCTCAGGGTTGTCTCCTCAAAGGGGTGGGAAACAAAGCAGTTTTGGCAAGTAACAATGGACTACTCCCAACTGCGATTCACCAAGTGAAGTGGGGAACGCACCAGGAATCTATATAAATGGGCCTCTTTTGTCACCACCGCAGCAAGTTTGCAGCAAGCACTCTGCTTCTCTGCTGGCTTTGCTGGCGGTCTTCGATTCCAGGTCGCTCTGACCATTAAATTGTGACCAGCCAAAAAGACTATGTTGACATGTGACAGGAGACACAGACAGATTGGCCAAGGTGTTATCACTTGTACTTTGTCATTACTCTGTAAAATGACTTATTGACAGTACTGTGACATTGCACTGCTGCGTTGTAAGCGTTCGATCAAACGTTGGGCCATGCTGTGTCAGTCACGGTCAAAGTCTTGGTCACAGTCTAAGTCTAAGTCTTTGCCACCTCATTGCCAGCCGTGGTAGCCTTGGTCCCAGAAGTAGTCTCCATCACCACTATTACGGCTCCTTTTGGGCTCCCTGATGGCTTCAGCTCCTGAGATGCTCAAAGGGAGATTCATGAAAGTAACAAATCATGCATCAAAGAAACAAACCAAAAACCTATCAATCAAGCAATGAACCAATGGCTCAATGAATGCGCACGCAAGAAGCTGCAACCAATCAAGCCCAGGCACGGACCAACTTCATTTTCTCAATCATCATGCTGGTAGCCACACCGTCAGGGTTCTTCCAGGTCTGGTTGGCCACATGCTCCATGCATTGGAAGGCGAAATCACGAACGAAGGCTTGTCCCAAAGCGGAGTAATTGAACAAGTTGACTATGCCCTGAGCGCAAGCTCAAGATAATCTAAAATGTGTCAAACGGCTGTTGAACGCAAAGAAACAGTTAAATTGCTGAAAACTGCAGCAACAATGCCTGAACACAAACAAACATCCACATGATGCATACAAGTCACCAGCAACGTGTTCTGAGAGAAGTTGACCTGCATCACCATTCCAGCAACATCCGGCGCCGCCTCCAGGAAGTCATGAATGGCCTGCAGGTCAAAGTAACAGGTAAGTTTTCAAACGATCAACTCATTGGGCAAAAAACTGCAGGAACAAACATGTCCAATCAACAAGCCAAGCCTGGAGAGGCGGTGACCTTTTTTCCTGCTTCTCCTCAGCATTGGGAGCATCACGCCAAGGCGGAACCATCTGGTCAGATGAAGCTGGACCAGCAGGCGCAGACGATGAAGGGGCGTCCTTCTTGTCACCCTCCGCCTCCACCTCTTCAAGCAGGCGCCACGAGTCCACAATGGGTTCCATCCAAGTCTTCTTCCACGATCGGGGAGGATCATAGCTTGCATCAGCATGCACTCCAAAAATGGAGGGGAAGTAGTAGGCGCACTGCCACCCCAGCATATGGCACAATGCCAAAATCACGGTCACTGACCTGTGCAATCCTTTGGTGCCTCAGATGCGTTGTCAGCAAGGACAGTGTGACAGTCAGAAGTCCGAAGCCAAAACATTCAAAAACATAGTGCAGGTCACAGTGTGAGGCATTGATCAACACATATAAAAACACCCAACACCACCACAACCTCAGTGCCGCCCGTGCACAGATCACCTGAATGACCAATTGGTGTCGCCTCTTTTTATGCATCTTCAGGTGGATGAGAATGATGCTGTACAGGAAGAAGGTGCAATCTTTGGCGCCAGTCTGAATCAACACTTCACGGAGGGACTCTGGATCATCGACCACTTTTCCTGGGTAGAAGTTGAAAAGAGTGTGCAAGATTTAGCACGTGACAGTCACCTCACTATTCCTTCTTTGTTTTTTTCTTGGTCATGAAATAACGCCAAGGCGCCTCGCTTCGCATCACGGCCTCCTTCTTTGAAACCTGGAATGGTCTCATATGGGTCATCAACCCACATCTCGCGGATGTCAAGCGTCACATGTGTAGCCTTCCGAAATTGGCCTTGGCTAGACATTTTAAGAGCGCAACACAGCCCACATCAGTCAGGCAAATGACACGCTTGAAAATGCACCCCTTCCCACATCCCACCATTGTTCCAAGTTGCACTTCCAGTGGCCAGCCATGCAATCCCTTCCTTGAAGCCAGTGAAAACCACCTTCTCCTGGGCTGAAATTGTCACGAGATGTTATGAACCATGAAATGGTATGTATGACCCAGGCGACAGATCAAACAAAGCGTGTGTGCCATAGCCCAGTTCAATTTCAAGACAAGTGGCGGGCTCTCATTTTGTATTCCCTGTCAGCGCCCCAGGCCACAAAGATGATGTCCTCATTTTTGGTCGCCATGGCTCACGAGGCAGCAAAGGTCTAAGTCTAAGTCTTTCATGTAATCTCATGCACAACTCATTGATTACTTCCAACTATGTATGTCGTTATTGTCGCATTATATTCATGTCATTTTGCTGTCCATGTCTTTGTCTTGAAAAACCTGCAAATCAATGGCGGCAAAACCCAATGACAAAGGACCTGCATCATCATTCATGAGTGAAAAAACTAATCATGTCATCAGTGAACTCACGTTGAAATGCAACAGCAGGACACACAAGAATGATTTCTAGAAATCAGGCCACGAGCACCTCTCCAGTGTCAAAGTTGTGTTGAGGCCAGGCAACCTCAGAGTGATCAGCAGGGTTTCTCCAAAAGGGCAAGCTTCAAGCTGACTGACACAAGCCTCAAACCTTCTGCAAACACAGCCACCAAACAGAACACAATGCTGACGCCATTGATGTTCATCAGACAGAACTTCTGGCACATCTCAGACTCCCACACTGAAGAGAGGCGCAACCTCAACGCCGACATTTGTAGCTGATTCATGAGTCAACTCCAAGATGCAAGGCCAAGCAAGCACGCAACAAGACATCCAGTGAAATCCACACTCATCCAGCAGTGCAAAGCTAATAACTAATCATTTGCACGGCGCATTTCACTTTTTCATCAATCTCGTGAGCAAACCGTTTAGGCCAGGGCTTGTCATGGCCAGTCAAAAAGTCTTAGTTCAAGTCTAAGTCGAGTCTAAGTCTTAGTCCCTGGACACTGGCACCAAGTGGTATCCCCAGACTTGGAAGACCACAGAACTCAAGTGCGGTGCACAGTCCGGAGACCAACCAAAGATGTCTTCACTGTTGAAGCTGTGCTGGCATCCATAAAGGCTGCCTTTGTAGAACACCGGGACCACGAAGACAGGCTGCTCCTTGTAGCGGCGGGTGGCCTCCACCAAGAAGTTTGGCATGGGCATGCTCCGAAGTTCCCGCCGCCAA